AATATATATATATATATGATGATAACAGGCCTTATATAAATATGTATGTTTACTAGTCAGATGGATGAATACGGACAAATTACTCGAAGAAAGGTTCAGAGAAAATGTTTTCCAACAATATTTTATCACATAATCTAAAGGTAAACTTTAAGTTCTAAACACATACAAGATACAAGAAACTTTATTTGTCTTCAAATATATAGAAATTTTTTAATACACAATATTTCCTAAAACATGTAACAGACAACTTGCAAAAAAACAGAATGACAAATATAAAACATTATATACTGTAAAAAAGAAAGCGAAATAGCAGATATAAATGTCACAATATTATTATTTTATTTTATTTATTTATTTATTTATTTATTTATTTATTTGTTCGTTCGTTCGTTCGTTCGTTCGTTCGTTCATTCATTCATTCATTCATTCATTCATTCATTCATTCATTTATTTATTTATTTGTATGTCTGTCTGTCGGTGTGTCGGGCTGTCTGTCTGTCTATCTATCTATCTATCTACCTATCTATTTATTTATTTATTTTCTTGTTAATTTTCAAATTTTAATTTTTAGGATATTATTTTGATATAACATACAAGTGATTACTCTTAATAAAAAAGAAAAAAATAATATGTGTAAATATATTTGGAAAAAAACTTTTATTGACACTTACAGTTACTTGACAATCAGTTTTCCTGATTGGTTGAAACAGGTTACCATCGACACTGTAAAAAATCTAATAAGACGTCACCCAGTGTAAGAAGTATTCGTTGTTGCGGCCTTGTGTGATTATTCCATGTACCTTATGCAGTTTGCCGAGGTCAACTTGGATCCACTGATACTGGTCATTGGTTTTTGGACGCCATGCTTCTCTCCCCAAACTATCTTGTTCAATGTTCAGTCGTCCACGATGTGCCCCAACCCAAAAATGTAATTCACTTGATGCGGATAGCTGTTCATCAGGAATAGTCCCATCTTCAACACCAAGAGGATCGATACACAACTCTGAGATAGAATTATTACAATTATAATTATGACACATTTGCTGACAATTTTCGAAAATTTTATTATTTCAGTAAAAATTGAAAACAAATTGAAAGAAAATGTTATAAGTTAATATATGGTATAATTTGAATTTTATAAAATCTGTGTTTTATGATTGTTCACATGATACCCTGTTTTCCGTTAACTGCTCCGCATATATTATTCTGAATCTTTATTTTATTAAATTGATTTTTAGTTTCCAAATTTATACAGGTTTTAGAATTTCTGTGAAAACATTCCATTTTTGACGTTGACGAACTTTGTTCCATTAATACTGTTGTTTATAATTTAAAAGGTGAATCAAAGATTTGTATATTTTATTTGATTATGATTATGAAAAATTTAAAAAATAGGCTAATCTACTAGTAATATACAATGAAATATTTTTAAAAATCACAATATATTTGCTCTATGTTTTTAAATACGGTTTGTTTTGAGCAAATAAGTGCTACACGTATCTGTGAATAAAGGAAAACGATGAAACATTGCTGATTTTTTTCCCTTGGTTTTTGCCTCCAAAAATTCTTATAGTGATTCAATGAAGTTTTATAAGCTAAAAAAATGTTTCTAATTACATTACATACACGACTAGGCTATTTATAAGTACACTTGTTTTTATGAACAATCGGCAAATACACTAGTGATTTACAACGTACGTAAACTTTTGCTTTTTGCGGTATTATTTTCCAAGGGCTCTAACACCGCATAGGATTAGTCATTTAGTTTATATAAATTATACGACTACTCGACATTTTATTGGCTTTCGAAGTATCTAAAAATTAGTTTGATTTGATAAATGTTCTGACCGGCTCGTCATTTTTTGTTGAACTGTTCAATCCCGATGGAATCTTTAGGAGTCCTCTAGTTTTAACAGGACTCGAGTCATTGTTTTGCTAGTGTTCTGTCCGAATAATTGTAATTATCAGTTTTGATGGTTTACAAATTAGAAATATGTATCTTATAACTTCAAATTGCTTTCAACCAGTTAATATAATAATAATAATAATAATAATAATAATAATAATAATAATAATAATAATAATAATAATAATAATAATAATAATAAAATGACAATAATAATAATAATAATAACAATAATAACAATAATAATAATAATAATAGTAATAGAGAAGATGGTGGTAGGAGTAATGAGATATGAGAGGGGGAGCCATGTACATGACCCCAAACCCGAACTGAACGTTTACAGACCTAGGCCCAGCATTACTGGTTGCGCTGCTAAAGTTTCTAGTTAAAATCTTTCCTTAGATTCATATTATTTTTATTATTGATTTATTAATTAATTAAATAATTGTTTATAAACAATCCCGCTATCCTTGTCTATCCAAGTACATCAATCACTGAATTGCCGACTTTTTGCTCTATACAATCGCTAAGCCTTGTCTAGTTACTATAACTTTAGGGAAATACCCATAGAGCTATTAAACAAGACAAGACAAGATGACAAGATGGCGGAGCAATGCAGAGTTGTGTATGTGTACCATCTAATATGCCGTAGGAAAGCGCCACCTTCAGGCTTAGTATACATAATAATATTACCATAAATAAGACAGTTAAAAATGTACTCTTACTTTTTACAAATCAAGCACAGTTTATACTCAATTCTAATAGTAGGATTGTTGGTTAACCAGTTGTCGTTCATATATTATCCATCTACTACCAAATTCAGATTTTCTAATGAAGAAATAAGGTGGTACTTAGCCCCTCAAACTGTAGGCCTGACAGCAAACCAAGGCCAATTGACATGCCTGAGTGAACAAGCATATCCAACGGCTTGGCAACAACCAAAGCCCCAGTCGCCGTTGTCAGCAAGGTTAAGTAGGCTTAGCCTTTTAGATTCCTCAGCCTTCTACATCGATTAAGTTCGTCATTTTTTACAACTGGCTTTCTACATAAGGAGAGTACGACTGTAACAACTGCTGGATATAAATGTTGCACTCTAGACCTATCTTTTTGCTGCGTAACAACCCATCAGTGGTATGTTCGTACGTATAGATTTCGAAGATATTTTAAACGTCCTATTTCTTATATTCAAAATCACAGTGCAACTTTTCAAATTCCATTACTCATAATTATAGCTGGAGATGTTCAACAGAATCCGAGTCCAACTACAAAGTGCAATAGCTGTGATAAAACGGTACGACGAAACCAAAAATATCAAGTATGTGGTGAGTGTAATAGTATCATGTAATAGTCATGTACACATAAAATGTATACCAATGGGTATACATAGCTATGCATTTTTCCAGAACAATCCAACTATCCTATGGTTCTGTGATACCTGTGCTTGTATGAAACTTCAATATCCTGCACCTCCACCATAATCACTTACTACCGATCAAGAAAGGTGGTTAGCCTTCAAACAACCAAGTGACTTGCGCATTGGGCACTTGAATATAAACAGTTTAACAAGAAAAATTGATCAATTAAGGCTCTATCTCAAAGAAAATAAATTCCATATTCTGTCCCTCTGTGAAACAAAGCTCGATGAGACAGTTAGCGACAGCGAACTTTCTGTTCCAGGATTTAATCTCCTTAGGAATGACAGAACAAGGAAACCTGTAACTGAAGCCACACATGTAACTAAAACTACAAAAACTCTTATTGATGTAGTCATTGGTTCTAATATGCATTTGCACATGAGAACGTTAGTCTTAACTTGTGGACTTAGCGACCATGATATTATTTTAACTGACCTTAATTTTAACTTTAAAAAAAAATAGACATTTTATTAAACAATTTAGAAGTTTTAAACATTTTGACATTGATTTATTTTTATCTGATGTTAATAATATTTAACTGAAAGATATAAAAGAATGCCAAGATGTAAACATGTGTTACAATCTTTTAATTAATCGTCTAAAAAAGTGTGCCATCACCACGCACTATTTGTAACCAAACGCTTTAAATCTACTGGGCTGGCTTGAAAACAGACCAGATATATTTGATTTAATGCACCGAAGAGATAGAATGAAGGCAAAAGCCAAGCGTACTAAAAGTGAGCTTGACTGGCGATTAACTAAAGATCTGAAAAATTGTGTAACTAGTCTATGTAGAGAGGCTAAAGAAGAATTTTATAAATTATATATATATCTGAATATGCAGGTGATTCAGGTAAGATATGGGCGGGCCTTGGGCATCTCCTCCCTTATAAAAGAAATATATCCAAACCCACTTGCATCCAAGTTAATGACACTGTAATAACAGATCCTTTAGAAATTGCTAATTCTTTCAACGACTATTTTATTAATATAGGCTTAAATCTTAACGATAATTCTTCTGCTGAAGCTATTACCACTAACCTTTATGACATTTAAGAAAGTATAATACATACTCCAAGTATTGAAATACCGTGTTGGGATTCAATATTTCGACATTAATTATGTCATCATCGGGAATGAAAAAATTATCCATATTAGCAAGCTTATATGCACTAGTACCAAAAGTGTTTAACCAATCAAAACATTACCTCTAGTAGGTGACATAGCAGTGATTTAAACAAAAGATCAAAGCATTCTTACTC